TGAGTTTCTGTACGTAATTAATTAATCCGAGATGTTTATCTTGTTGAGATAGTGAGGAATCAATACATTTATCAGGTATCTACCTAATTACAGGCTTCAGTTATTGAATTAACCCACTCAAATTAATGGGGCAAAGCTAGGGCAAATTTAAAATATAGGTAGTATTGATCTATGATGCAGTACTGATTCTGTACATTGAATATTCTCCGTGTACATCGGTAAAACATAGAAGTATCAAATCGGTCTACCCATCTTTATCGAAACATCAGTAAAATTTTTTGAAAGTAGTGGAAAGAGAGGGGAGCCGTTTAAAATACCTCCCTTCTATAAATCCATCTCGCGTCGAGGATGAAAGGCTAGCGAAACCCAATCCAATCTCCGTTTTTAACGTCTGGTATTTATTACACCTTTCACGTGAACAAAACAAACGACCTCTAATAAAATCCCCCTTTTTTCTCCGAGGCAAATGAATGGGGCGTCCATATAATGACTACGAAATAGGTAATTTCGTATAAATTTAATTATTATCGTACAGTCAAGAAGCTTTGGGTTATGAAAGGAAAGAAGAAGTCATTATCTCTTAAAAAGCTGTACCTGTTTTTCAAGGAAAATCAAAATTCATATAAACATAGGCTGGTCCTTCCCTACTTTGTTTCCTGACGTATTTACGACGACAGCAGATACATAAAAAGTAGACGGCATTTTTTATACCTAATGCTTGAAAAATGCTACAAGTTATGACTCCGCCATTTTTGGTGCAATTTTGAAAATCAAAAGATCCTAACTTACATCAACATATTTGTCACGGCTTACATTTTTTTAAATTGAACTATATACAGGGTGATCCAGGATTGATGGTAAAAAATTAAATGGTAGATTCTACAGATAAAAATGTGACCTTTTTCTTCAGCACCATTTCCAAGCCCTAAGTTGTTAAAAAAGCGAATAATCTTGATCACTCGTTAACGATAAGACAAAACTGAACTAAACTTTGCAAGATAAAAAAATAAATAAAAAATACAATCAAAAATAATGTTTTTTGTCTTTTGTATTGCTTTATAAGCAACTGTTTTTGAGAAAATACGTTTTGAATCATTTTATTTTCACGTATTAAACTGGATAACGATTTGCAAATTTTTACTGATTAAACACAGTTTTTCTCTTATATTTCGTTTATATTTAAAGCAAATGTTGGAAATAGATATCTCTTAAAAACACCTGAAACTTTTTTAATGGTTTCAGAATCCTTTGTGGAACACCTTACCTGCGGGTATTTGTTCGAAGTAAAGTGAAGCAAATAAATACAAAATAAAAGTCAAATCGATTATAGTCTTTCCGAAGTCACTTGAACATGTATAAAAACGCATAACATGTATAAAACATGTATAAACACACCTGTATACATGTATAAATAAAATTTAATGAGTTTCATGTGTCCCTAAAAAAGTTTTCTGCTAAATGTAAAAAATTATAATTTGTGCCTAGATAATGTGTAGAAAATTATTTATGTCCTCTAACAATTTTATTATATTGATGCTAAATTTTGGTTATGGCATATCAAAAAATATTTATATTTTTATATTTTCATTAAAATATATTACTGCTCGGCAAGAACCAATGGCAAAGTATGAACATTTCCTTGCCAGGAAAGGATGAGGAAAGGTTGTTAGTTTAGGTTAGAAAAGTTATTAAATAAAAATAATAAACAATAAAATTCCGCATTGCTGCACTGCACTGCTAGTCAATGTGTCAACAACTGAAATTTATGTCCCAATCGCCCAGAGCGGTTTTGTTTCTGCGCCGTTTGCCCGCGTGCGCATTCTTCAACTGGGCGTATACATTTCTACCATCTCCATGTTTACTTCGACCAGACCTGTATATGGGTATGGCTAAATAAATATGGGAACAAGTTTTCCAAATATTTCAATGACGAGTTAATGCGTAGCGAGCGAACCTGGTACATACTGCCTAACTCTTTGGTCTTCAATTGAGATCGCAAAGACTATACACTCTGGAGATATGAACCAAGCTACTTAGTCCAGTAGGTAGATGTTCGGCCTGTGTCAAACCGTAATAACCCGGAAATAACTGCACAGGTCTACTTTAAATGATGAGTACAATAACAGGCAAATTTGCTGACAAAGTATTTTATCAGAAAAAAAAGTGATTAACAATTTAATTGTGAAAATTTTTTTTTTAGTAGTTTTCTTTAAATAACTCAGCGGGATTACTTTGTACGAAAAAATGCTTAGGTCATGATTTTATTCGTAATAAAAATAGCTACAAGATGGCTGTGGTCCGATTACGAAATTTGCAATAACAAAGCCGTAAGATTGAAAAACGGTATAAAACGTCAATTTTTTTAAGTTGCTGTAAAAATGTCAATTATAAACAAAAAGTGAACTTTCGAAAACTATAGTTCAATATATATACAATAATAACGCTAAAGCCGAAAATCAGGAGAGCAAAACTTTTTGTTCTATAAGGTGTTATACATTCATCGGCATCTGAAACTCGAAACTTTGCCAAATTTGTTCTAAGCTTTGCTGACACTTGAAATTTGGTACACACATAGTGTAAATATGCAGAAACCAAAAATAATTTGCAAAATTCAAGTATCTTCATTTTTGCAGTTTTGGTAAGGTTTTATACGTCATCCTAGTTTTATACGTCACCGTTTTTTTAATTTTTGGACGTATATTTATGTATATTTATAAAATATTCCAATACGGTAGATTAGCCAGCACAATTACCTACAATTTAAAAAAATATATATTTTCATCGTTTAGATCCTAAGCTACTTAACATTTTGCACCTGTTAGCGATACTCGTACATTATTCAACATATCAACATAAAACAAAAACGCACGTGTGGGGTAAACCTTTAACCTTCAGTAAACAATTGTTTAAATTTACTGTTGCATATTTCTAATAGTATACAAGCGCCGAAGAGCGGAGCTCGCGCTCGAGAATGAAAAGTTAAAGGTTTACCCCACACGTACGTTTTTGTTTTATGTTGATATGTTGAATAATGTACGACTACGGCTAACAGGCGCAAAATGTTAAGTAGCTTAGGATCTAAACGATAAAAATATACTTTTTTTTTTAATTGTAGGTAATTGTGCTGGTTAATCTACCGTGATGGAATATTTTATAAATATACATATATATTTTTCCAAAAATTAAAAAAAACGGTGACGTATAAAACTAGGGTGACGTATAAAATCTGACCAAAACTGCAAAAATGAAGATATTTGAATTTTGCAAATTGCTTTTGGTCTGCATATTTACACTATGTGTATACCAAATTTCAAGTGTCAGCAAAACTTCAAACAAATTTGGCAAAGTTTCGAGTTTCAGATGCCGATGGATGATGGATGAAAAACTTATAGAACTAAAAGTTTTACTCTCCTGATTTTCGGCTTTAGCATCATTATTGTATAAATATTGAACTATAGTTTTCGAACGTTTTATCACTTTTTGTTTATAATTGACATTTTTACAGCAACTTAAAAATATTGGCGTTTTATACCGTTTTTTCAGTCTCACGGCATTGTTATTTCAAATTTCGTAATATGACCACCGCCATTTTGTAGCTATTTTTATTACGAACAAAATCATGTCGTTTTTCGTACAAAGTCATCCCGCTGAGTTATTTAAAGAAAACTACTAAAAAAAATTTTTTTCACGATTAAATTGTTAATAACTGTTTTTCCTGATAAAATACTTTGTCAGCAAATTAGCCTGTTATTGTACTCATCATTTAAAGTATTCCTGTGTAGTCATTTCCGAGTTATTAAGAAAATGTCACCAACAGTAACTTTTCGGCCTCTGCCTACTGGAGTAACTGGTTACTTTCTACTGATCCACCTGTCGAGATACCGTTTATTTATTTATTATAGAAGTTACCTAACAACAGGTGCAATCAGACGCCTTTTAATTTTTGCAAAATTCATGAGCCTTCACTGGACTGACTGACCACCAACAATGTCAGCCCATAATTTCACACAGATTTGCCATTGATGCCAGCAACCTTGTGTAGATATTTTTAGATTTTCAGATTTTAGATAGATATTTAGATTTCTGGTCCAAAATTAAGTAGAACAGAGTAAAAAACATAAATTCCCTAATTTTGGTTCAATTTTGACTTATTTTTAATGACTAATCAAGAAAATTCAATTTTTAAAAAATTTTAAGAGGCCCTGTCTTGAAAGGGATCCTACTTGGGGTGCTTATCATCTGTTCAAAGGACAAAAAAGTCACATTTTTAACTGTACCACATTTTCTACCATCGGACCTAGAACACCCTGTATATTTGTGAGTTTAATCTAACAGGGATTTTTTCCTGCCTCTAATCATATACGGTCAATTGACTTTCCGATTCACTGAGTAATGATTTTCTTTTATTAATTCTGTGATAGTAAATTTAGTACAGAGGCTTAATTTGTTGGAGTGCTCAAATTAACATTAACGAGTATTTTGAGAATTTTCCTAGCAAATTTTTGGCGGAAATTAAAACAAAAATTAAGTTGCCGTATTGTTGAGTTCACAGAAAAAAATGGAGTGCTGCTTGTGTTTAGTTGTTGGCACTGAGATGCCAATCTAAACTCTTCTGTTATATGTGGACTTTCCTCAAAGCTTCACAGTTCAATTGCTTTAATGTTACTCTTTCACAAGCGGATGTTTTTCCACTTTGGAAATGTGAATTGCGTTGCAATTTTAAAATATCGCCTATCTATACTCGATGGTAATCTTATTAATATTGTAATTTTTGGAATATTTCGATACTTGATTTTTGTATTGTGAGAAGTACCACTTCAAAACAAAATGGGGCCTATTGTTTTCTAAATAAATCTACAAATAATTAAGCCGCACTTACATCATAGCATAACATTATTAACATTATTATAAAAAAATACTATTCACATTATAATTTATATCTTAAGTACTGATGCTATCACTATCTAGTAGAGTAGTACAATCATAGGTATATAATAATCATAGAAAAATTTACATCGACATTATACTGGTGTTGTTAACGAGAAAACATGAAACTTTTAACAGTATTTTGTATATTCGCTATTGCCATTGGAGCAAATGCCGATATTGGTAAGTTAATAATTCAATTCTTAAATAAGGTAATAATTATTATCTTTAAATTTTCAACGCGTTTCGTTTATGACAATTTCAGATAACGTTTCCTTAGAAGTAACATTATTATGTTTAGATCCATATGTTTCCAAATTTAAAAATTTTTATAAAAGGAACATTAAAAGTCTAATAAATTTTTGTGTTACAGATCTATTGATCTAAATTCAACTACATTTAAAAGGAAATATGTAGTTTTCCATTTATGATACATATTAAAATTATTCACGGACGTAAATAATAAAACGATATAGTATGTGTTCGACAGAATATTATTCTCAAATATATATATTTTTAATTAAATATTTTATTATTCGTTTTCGTATACGCCGTCGTCATTGGACAGCATCCAGACCAGAGTTGTATCAGTGTTGCCAGTTATTACCTTTTGAAACCAACGGAGTGGCATTGCTTTTGTATGAATTTGCAACATGTTAATTTGAAGTCGCCATATTCCTTTGAAAAAAATTATTCAGTATTCTTAAACCGTTAATACTACATTCATTAAATATTAACGAATATTGGTTTGTTAAAGCAATTAATTTTACTAAGTAGCTTCATTGATTTTAATTCTTTTAAAATAATACTATTTTTATAAAGCACTGTGTTTAGTATGCGAATTCTCTTGTGTCAATGACCTCTGACATTGACCTAGTTTATTCCAACGAAGTAAACAAGTGCACGCAGACACGACATGATAAGAAAACTGCACTTAGAAAAGTTAAAGTTTCTACCTTCACTGTTAAATTTCTATGTGATATTAGATACGAAAAAACGTACATATTCGAATAAAAAAAATGCGATTTGAGAACTAGGCTTGCTGTAGCTCGCGATCACAGGTTATTTGAAATTACACTAGCCTGTTCAGCGGCGGGGTATGACAATAACAGAAAAAGGCAAAAAACGTTCAGTTTTCTCGACGGAACCTAAGAAAATAAACTTATAACCTATGTTTCTAAAGTTTACAGTTACAGACTTGAAGTGAAATTGAAAATATGTAAATAAAAAAATGTTCTTTATTTCAGATACAGATGGCTATACCAACAAGCAGATATTCCTTCGTATTATAGAATGCGCTCAAAAAGTAATAGTAAAAGGTCTTCCCGAAATTGGCGTACCTCCTCATGACCCACTCAGAATTTCAAAAAATTTCACTTACACTCTAGATCTAGGCAGTTACAGGTAAGACATACTTTCCGGACGCAATATGTTTATAGAAGGTTCAGTAAATTCACAACATATTCATCGTTTTGATTTAAAACATTTACTTCGTTAATGAGTAAAATTTTCATTATATCGATTTGAATTTTCTACAAATTAAAATGAACAAATATAAAAGTCTCATTTAAAATTCTAGTATTGAAGTTGGTGTGGAAAACATGTACATGGAAGGTATACCATGGTGGGAAGTGAGACAGATGGACGATGTAAGTGAGAAAGAAGAAAATCCTGTCTTCGACTACAATATATACTGGAAGATGATGTCCTTCGAGGGCAAATGGAAATTTGTCATTACTGAAACCAAGACCGGCAATAAAATGGTTGATAATGGTGGAGATATTGGGCAAGTTAAAATTTAATATTTTTTTACTCCATTTTATTTATAAGGTATTTTAAAGGTTAACGCAGTGTTGAGTGTTTTATATAACAACCTTTTACCGTACAACCTTCTAATATTGTTTTGTAGTTGATTTATTTTACTATTATAGTTTTGAGCTTGATCATCTCACCTTTGCCGGGAGATATAATTTCTCCAAACCTGAGGATGACAAAGAAGTAGGTTTTAATGATTTGACCCTTCATTTGCACACGGAAGAAAGTGAGGTAAGGATAAGTGTATTACTATTTATAACATTCGCACAATTCTGTAGTTAAACAAAATTTTTCTTCATATTTAATCCAGAGAAAGGCTATTGAAGACTAGACTTAAAATTATTCATCCAATTCGATTATTATTACATATATAAGCCAATTTGTGAGCAATATATTTTGGAGAGGAAGGGGGTTGCATTCTTGTATAGTTGTATTTCATACAATTGAAAATTCAAATACAACATTTACGCAAGCTAAATAGTATTAACTTTTTGTTAATTGGTGAACACAATACCCACTTGATAAATACGAGTAAATTCAGTCAGGATGATACTTGTTTCTTAAGATCGGCATTCTCAAAATTTGATAACGCTTTCTCATATCTTATCTGGAATACAATGTGGGACGATGTTTATCTCTTGAGTAGTGAGGTAATTTATATTTTTTATTACATTTCAGGTGCACTTTGACAACTTGGGCTTGATAAGTAGCGGTATACGTCTTCTCGGAGGACCAGCTCTGACAAAAATCTTCAATATGGACCTTTTGACTGACATTTTGGGCCCAGGAATCAGAGACAAGTTCAACAAAGACTGGGTCGGAAAACCAGAACGAATTGTTGCCCTTATAACTCACTGCGATGATTGACGAATCAATTAAGTAATGTAAACCTATTTACTATCTATTCAGTAATAAAAAGAACGAAAAGAATTATATTAATTTTTTAATTTGTGTTATATTAATTACACAGGCCAACAAGGAAAAAATTCCAGAGATCAGACACTACGTTTCCGAAGGCATTTGGCGCGCTGGAATCTGGCCTCAGAATTGATCCATCACCCTAGGTTTCCGAGATATTCTAACCTAAAAGTGCAAAAAACACGTATTTTTGCTATTTTCAGGGTTTCAAGTTCAAGCGAAATAAATTTTTTTCTCAAAATTGAAAATATCATTGGAAACTACTATCTTTCCCCTTCAAAACGCATTTTTTTTATTTGTAAAAAGCTTTATTTTTCGCGGAGATATCGTCGATTAAAGATGATCAGTATAGCTACGTTATTAAACCATGGCTCGACCTATAACACAATATCACTAAGCGCTACGAGCCTTAGATGTCAGGAAGGTTAACCCCAAGCCCTGTAACTGAATAACACTAAGCGCTACAAGCCCTAACCACCAGGAAGGTTAATCCCAATAACCCAAATAACCCAATAACCCAATTGGTTCATTGAATATAGTAAATGATTGCTTTAAAATATAATAAGTGTATCATGACATTACTCAATATATTACAATATTTAGGATAACTAGTAACATTTCATGGACGATTAGGGCTCACAGCGCTTAGTGTTGTGGGGTTATAGGGCTTGGGATTAACCTTCCAGACATATAGGGCTTGGGGTTAACCTTCCTGACGATTAGGGCTCGCAGCGCTTAGTGTTATTGGGTTATAGGGCTTGAAGTTAACCTTCCTGACGATGAGGGCTCGCTCCGCTTAGTGTTGTGGGGTTATAGGGCTTGGGGTTAACGTTCCTAACAATTAGGGCTAGCAGCGCTCAGTGTTATGGGGTTAGCCATGATGTAATAATATAGCCATACTGGTCATCTTAAATTGACGATATCTCCGCGAAAAATAGAGCTTTTTCCAAATAAAAAAATGCGTTTTGAAGGGGAAAGATAGTCGTTTCCAATGATGTTTTCAGTTTTGAGAAAAAAATTTTTTTCGCCAAGTTACATAACCTTGAATATAGCAAAAGTACGTGTTTTTTGCACTTTTAGGTTAGAATATCTCGGAAACCTAGGGTGATGGATCAATTCTGAGGCCAGATTCGGATTCAGCGCGCCAAATGCCTTCGGAAGCGTAGTGTCTGATCTCTGAAATTTTTTTTTTTTAAATTTTGTCGGCCTGTGTTATTTTTGCTAAATAAATCTGTATCCGAACATTAACGACTTGAGGGTTGCTTTCGCTGTACAGCAAAAATAAAACGCTCTCTCAACGGTAATAATAAAGTATTTTATTGAAAACTAAGTTGTATAGAAAAAGACGTGTTAACGGTATAAGGGTTTGCTGGAGAGTCCCCGTGTGTGGAGTCGATCGTAGGTATAATGGGTACGCATCTGGTCGCCGGCGCCGATAGACCCTTCTTGGAACGCTGGTACGTCTGGCGGCGTCCTGCTGGCGCTCTTGAAGTTGTACTTAAAAATGGGTCACTTGCGAACATGTGTACCCATTGACTAAATGTTCGAACGAGCGATAATTTTGGCAATAACAGCTAATAAAAAAATGAAAAACAAAAATAATTCAAGCACAATTATAAACGGAGTGATACTTTAAGGAATATTTGTACTATTTTAGTTTTGGGCGAGTGCTAAATGTATGTTACATAATATTACCTAATTTAATTTTATTGGAGGTCTCAATGTTGCGCACCTGGAAAAAGGGTTATTAAGCAAAACAAAACTAATATTTAATAAATAACATCTAGTGATCTTCTGTTTCAAAAATTCGTTGGTTTGCGTATTACAACCATTCTTTGCATATCACAAGACCATGGCGGTGCAAAAACAATCCTATAACAACAATAACCTTTTAGCCCCATCGTAAATATTTAGATTTTAGATTAAATTAATCAAGCATTATTTCGATATGGAACACAACTAAACATAAATTCTATTTACGTTAAGTTTACTACGATTAAGGGGTAACGTCATTTCCGGATAAATGGTTTAAACCAGTGGTTTCCAACTTTTGAGAACTAAGGACTCTTCAAGGACCACCTGTTATGATTATAAAAACGCAATTTCGTTTAAAACTTGCGGAACAAGACAAATACTCTTAAAAATATAACAAACTATTATAGTTTTTTTAATGAGATTTCTGAGTCTTCATTTGCTTCACCAGCAGAGAAATTCTGGGGTTGATGTTGCCGCTCAATGCTACGCGCATATCGTCACCTGCGTTTTAATTTTTTACTAAAGGTAACGCTCAGAATCTTTGTTCATAAATAAAAGTTGTGGAAAATGTCATCAGATACCTTAAAGTAGTTTCACGCAGCTTTCTTGCACCAAAACTTCTTGAAGCTTATACCTGAATTCATTAACTGTATTCAGTCTCGCGGACCACTTGGAAGATGGCCACCTGTGGTCCTCGGACAACTGGTTGGGAACCACTGTTTTAAACAACGTTTTATTATGTGAAGAATATAGAAAACAAGTTTTAGGTGGGGGAAACATGAATTTTTTCGAGGTAAAGCGTAATTACTCTCATAGAGCTGCAGCAGTGCTTATTTGTAACTCGTGATAAAAAGAAGAGGATGAAGAAAATGTCTATAGAAGGCCTATTGTATGGTGCAGACATCGCTGATTGAAGGTATACCTAAATCAACAATTATTAATATTTTTAATTTAGCTACGATGTTGTCTAGTTTTTAGTATGTAATATCAGAAAATTCCCGAAAATCTCCTTTTCTCCCAAACTCTAGAGTGGCGTTACCCCTTAAGGCGATAGGCCGAATTTAGTAGAGAAAGTTCCACCAAATTTGACATTTTGACAATTCATTGTAACCATTTCCACTTAGCGATATTGGTTCAGTTTTTAATTATTTTTTCTTTAGTTAGCACAACAGTAAAATAGTTAGGCATATTTTATCGTCATAAACTGTCCCTGCCAATAGGTTGTAATTCCAATAATCAATAACAAACATTGATTTTGTATGCATGATATTCTAGGCGGAATAATTAGAATACTTTTCTACGTTCTTTTGGCCACCAATAGGCTTTGTTAAAAAAGGAATTAGCTAGTTGCTACCACTCTTTTAGTTAGCCTTGTAGGTACTGTCACATAAATTTGGATTCTTGCACGAAAATATTACGCAGATCCGGCTTTAAAATATGAACTAAAAAAAATGGAAAGTAAGACAATTAATACATGCGTGCGATATATTTCCCGAAGGAAATTTTCGGTGAACCATTTCCTTGTGAATTATTAGAAAAGAAGAATCAATTCATTAAAATTGAGAATTCGGGACTCACAGCTCATCTATGCTATTCTTTCATTATTTTTTAAACCCACTTAACATCTACAGGGAATTATTGTATTTTTTTTTAACTATCCAAAATAAGTAATTTTCATAAATGTTGTCTCCATCTCGTTGGTTGTGTTCAGTAATGTTTGAATTTTATAGGGCTTTATCTATCCGACTATTGGTCCATTTTAGGGTTCTTCTTTACTGGATATTATTCTGATGGACTGCTCCTGCGATCGGACTTATGTATTTCATCACGATCTTATGGATCACACGCCTTTTGGTTCTCATGATGACAGAAATGAGATGCAGACTTTAGTTTCGACACAAATAGCAGCAATATTTACGATAATTCACTCTGGGTGATCAAATTGTTATGTTTGACCTTCTTATGCATACGATTTTCGAACAAGAGCATGATATGTTTAGGACACAACAAATACATTTTCGTAAATTCCTATTATACAGGGTGTTTCTGAAACATCACTTTTTAAATTGAAAAAAAGCTTCACATGAAGGTTTAAACAAATTAAAAAAACATTTTATACCCCGGCTAGGTAATACTGCAACATACAACTAAAGAACAAAATACATACTGACCTACTATCAGAATTGCTTGATTGCGGAAGTCACGTGGAACATCAGTCAATTAGAGAAGCATGTAGCGAGTCTGGCCGGGCACGTGCACAAGATGCACAGGGTCGGCTTACATTTATGGTTAATCTGTCACCCTTTGCAAGGAACGGACTTATTTTAGAAACATCCTTTATAGGTATAAAGACAATTTAAGCTGATTGTGCTGCGTAAGTTGCAAATCGTGTAATTTTTTAAAACAATATTGTATAAAGATTGAAGAAGTGTTTCTGTTTTGCACAAGAAAATGGACGATCTGAAGATGTTCAAGTTCCAACAGTCCCGGAAATGTTTTAATTATTAGAAAAACTACAAAGTTTTTTTCGTTTCCTTTCCAGTATATACCTTGACTTCGTCAGTCTTGTAACAAAAGCCGGGACGCGTGGTAATTTATTGGTTAATTCTCGGAACGGATGGGCCAAAAAGTAAAATATTTCAGTCAACACTAATTTTATCGAAAAGTTAAAAGTTCTCAAGTAGGTTTAGCGTAGCCACAAGGCCGTCCTTCGTAGAAGGCCTTATGAACTTTATCAATATTTTTTAACACGTTCAGTTAGACTGTCGGGGCCATGTGTTGAGCATCTGGTATGAAGAGAAAAATCGATATTTCAAATAACGTGCGAAATGCATTCCAAAGAACGTAGGAATTCCAAGAATAAGTTGTTAGAAAAATAATGGTTAGAGATAATGGTTAAATAATGGTAGAGATCAAATAGCTGTTTTTTAGGCGGATTTTCCAAGTTATAAGAATAGATTAAATGAGATTGACTAATCCATCCCGTATTGCTACATGAAGGCTAGGGTTATTTGCGAGTTCAGTTAGTCACAGAATTATTTATATAAATGTAAGTCAATTAGGTAATTATTAACATAGTATAATTATATCGAAGCGTCCCGATATTCAGGAGCCCACCAATAAGATAAGAACAGAAACTTCTGGACCCAAGAAATGGGCGTGTCGAAACGAGGTGTCGAATTCAGGAGAGATCTCCGAAAAACATTATATTGCATCTTATGACAAATATTCAATTTTAAGTTTGTAATTATGAAAAAAAT